ATCTCAGGATTGCAGAATCTTAAGTGCCCATAAATAATTTCTAACAAAGCCTTCATGGTACTTCTGTTATGGATCTTAACTCATCACTGAATCATACAAGAGAAGGAAACAAGGTTTTTATTATGCACAGCTGCATAATAAAAAGTTGGGATGCTATAGCAGATTTATTCTCTTAAGCAAGCACAATTTAAATTACATTTCCAAAAGCAAATAGATAAATTCTGTAACACAAAAGGCATTACACCCAACATGTGGTAACTTTCTACTGGAACTTGCTAGGAAAAAAAAAGGAGTACTGGGCTAAAAATTGGTTGTTGCCTAGAACTAGTAATCACGGAATCACAGAATCACTAGGTTGGAAAGGACCTTCAAGATCATCAAGTCCAACTATTAATCCAGCACCACTATGTTCCCTAAACCATGTCCTGAAGTGCCACATCCACACGTTTTTTGAACACTTACGATGAATGAAACCAAGTAACATTCAATTAGGTCAGATAACAGATCCAATTCATATGTTGATGTGGATCTGCAAGAATGTAATATTTTTGTATTGAATAAAATTGTAGGAAAAATGAAGGAAAAATATTTTAAAAGCATGAATGACATTTGAGACTTCTTGAAGAAGACTTTGTTGTCAAATAGATAAGGGTTCCAGAGTCAAAAGACCAGGGGCTAAAACCCTGTCTCAAAGTGAAGACAATAAAAAGCCAAGCATCCATACAAAAATTAGAAGTTATGAAATGTAAACAAAAAAAAAAAAAGGGAAAAATCCTACTGAAAGGTTATTAGGAACGAAAAGCATGCTAGCAGTCCTTAACATTCATTGTTGTATGAATAAAGTAACTGTGCAAATGGGCGATCTAACACTTCTTTTTTCTCTGTAAACTATGAATCAATTTAATAGTCCTTCTGGATATAAGCTCTTCCTGTATGGAAAACAGGATTCAGAGAAATCTGGAGGTCATGTAGTTTCTCGTTTTGCCCAGAGGCAGGATGTATGTGTATGTACCTACACTATTTCTGAAACGTTTGTCTAATCTGTTGCTAAAAATCTAATGGTGGAAGTGGCATCCCTTTTTTAGGCAGTCTATTCTAGTGCTTATGTATTTGCTTTCAGTACTGCTACTGTACTGTAGTGCCATTTGCTCAGGCATTTCCCTGGCTACGGACAAGAAGAGCACTGAAATAAATATGAAAAATACACTAATTTATACTATTTAACAGGCTTGATTGTTTAGATTGATTTTAGAAGAAATTCAAGAATTTGAGAACTCTCAATTCTGTGATACAAGGAGAATTGCTACATCTCACTATCTCCGTTTTCTTGTGGTGAGTAAAATAAGGTCTATGCAGAAATGATGGGCAGTTAAGCCTTCTTCATTAACAATTTCTAAAGGCTTTATGTGAAGAGCCATTGTAGCAATATTCCGTTGCTATTACTGCTGTTAACAAAAGCGACCCTGCCTTGTAGTGACAGGGAAGGAGACTTGCTGCTGCTTTTGCGCCTCGTCATGTTCTTGGATTAACGGGGTTCTACAGTTGCAAATACATCATGGTAACGGATACAGTTCCTCCAGGAGCACTTGCCCTACAGGAAGGCTGTCGGGTAGGAGACGGCAGCGTACACACAAGTCTCTCACCTCAGTCTCTGGCCTCAGAGCATTCTTTATCGGCAAAGCTATACACAGCGATGAAGTAGGACAGGGAAACCAATGGTTTGCCACCCAGTCACTTTTTCTTGGCAGCGTGATCACCCACTGCTAGCTTTGTTTTTCCCTTTTTCATCCCATTATCATCATACTGGAGTATAGAGGTAGCTCATAAAATATATCTGCACTTGCACGTTGTAATACGTTTTAAGACCCACTCAAACACTAGAAAAGGGATCTTGCTGTAGAAAGCTAAAATGTATTGGTTAAGTTTCATTTGTCCCGAACCTCTGGAGCGTTGTTGCTGTTAGTTTCACAGATCATGAAAGAAAATGATGCAAGATGCTGTATGTGAAAGGTAGATGCCAAATTCATTGGGGATAATACCTAAATATGCTGGCCCTGGCAGAAGAACGAGTTGCTGTGGAGGAATCCTGAGCAGACTGGCTCTCCAGGAGCCGCAGTACCTCTCCATGTATTTTCACTGTGGACAGTGAAACTCCCACAGAGCAGCATTTTGGCATGCATTCAAGGCCTGTCCTACCACGCATGGACGCAACTGCTGCCAAGGACTATGCAGTGGATTTTACATGACAGAAGCACTGTTTACATTGGAAATTAATTCTTTAGGATGTGTGGTGTTAATAATTCAGATGGAACAATTCTAAGACCTGGCTGATCAACTTTAGTTCTTTTATCAAGCACCTTCTTTAAACACAATGAAAATACACTCCCTCTGCTGTATTTAAGAAATAATTAAAAATAATTTATGCCTTTGAAAGTTTTAACTACGAAGTTTAATGCATGCTCGATACTAATGAACAAAAGTATTCACCCACGGACCTTACAGAGCAACTATTTTCCATTATTTCCCAAGTGTGTATTTCTGTGGTGCTTTCATCGCACGTCTAATGCAGAGGCATTGCAGTCGCTCTACACAGAATCCCAAGTCTTTATGGCTGTAAACCTGCACCAACAGAATGCACACATCTCCACTGAGCTGCATCTGAGCTGTTCAAAACAGGGTCTGCCTTTTCTCCTTTTTGTAAAAGGAGGGCGGCCACAGAGTTAGGGGTGTGCATTTTCCTGTCACAAATGCAGTTCTTCCAAAAGTAGAAGGGAGATACTGACTGTTTGATGGCCGAACACCAGTAGAAATCAGAAATAAAGCCGGCTATTTTAGATGCTGTACTATATAAAAGTTCTTTGACTGATATGAGAGAGAAGGTCTGGGTTTGTTTGGGTTTTCTTTCTTTCTTTTTTTTTTGAAGTGGTCTCATGTTCTCTAAACATGAAGCTGTCATTACAAATTAATTTTTGGAATGCGATGGTGACCATTTTCTACAGAAATAACTGGAGTGGGGACTAAGCTCATTATGTTTGCTTCTCTTTTTTAAAGAACATACACGGTTTATTTAATTTTCCTGCACTATATTGAAAAATAATAAAAATACATTAAAAAATTACAGCAATGAAAAGGACTCCCAAATGAACTACCTCATGCTGTCTCTCCTGAATGCGTAATGCTTAACTGCCAGGTTGTACCTAATTTACACACATTAGAAAATGAACACACACACACACACGCCATCCAATTGTCCTTTTATATTTTTATTCGGTGTTAAGTAACTCCACAAGAAAACAAAATCAGTTACTCTGGTGTACGTGAAATCAGAACAATACAACCACTTGAAGCAAAAAGTAGAAACAAATTTCAGCCCAGGAATGGAAAACTGGTACTTCAGTGCTATGGATATGCAATGCGCTTCATACCACAGTGCAGTTCAGCGTATGCCAACCTTTAATGCTTTTGTTGTAGTTGTTGTTTTTGTTGTTGTATGTGTTTCTATCCATACAGAAAAACTAAAAACCACACCTCAATTCTCACTGAAAGCTTTAGAGCTTTAGCCATTAAACTATGAAAACAAGTAAAGACAATTTGTTATTGCCCAAGCTCAATACACGGTTTTAGTTTCCTCAAAGGTGCTGGAATTATTACATGCCACAATGTAACTATAAGCAACACCTTTGTTATTTTTGAGCCCTTTCTTGCCAAAGAAGCAGCTCTAGCCAAAATTAACTGAGCTGAAGTTTGTGTTTGAAATATGTCCATTTGGTCATTTCTTGTTCTCGAATGAAGTTCTATTCCTTTCTTCACTGTAGTGATTTGAAGAATTTGTGTGTAAAGTTCTTTTTTACTTTCATGTTACAGTTAACTAGTTCTCAGTGCAGATGCTAAACAACCTCTCAAGGAAGCTCCAGAAGAAAGTAAAATATATAAAAATCTATCCAAAGTCTGCAAATAAATTAAGAAGAGAAACTAAAGTGTCAAAAGATTTGCTGTACGAATACAAACCCTAAACCATAGTCTAAGAGGAGGACCAAAAGAAAGTCCCCAGCTAAGGACAAGCCAAGCCAATTTTAAGTACGGATCTCAACAGAAGCGTCGCACAAAGAATGGCATGGTTTTCCGACCATGTATTTCAATTCTTACGTTATCAGTCGAATAAAGGCAACAAAACCCAGTTACTCAGAAAACCTTTCTAGCACAGAACATATTTCAAAGGCAGTTCAGCTCACGTTTCAAACAGCTATAGTTCTCATGAGGTTTATTGCCTGTCAAAAGTAATGGTTAAGCTTTTCAAGTCAGTATCAGACTTTCTGCACTTCCTGATGTTATAGACATGCTGCTATTGTATAGACTAGTTAGTTGTTTTTTTTTTTAAACTATGAGTTGGTAAAAACTTAGAATGTTTAGTTTTGCAAATATTGCTCCTCCTGGCTTATACATTTTGCATAATGTGTTAAAAGCACAAGGAGTTGATAGTCTTGTACAGATGCAACTTGACAATGTATCGACTTTCTAAGTTAACAAAAGAAAATTTAAAAGCAAGTCACATAAAGCAACAATCACTACTGCAATCACACATGTATGTTGTAAGTCACCACCTTCCCTACCCCCACCCACCGCACACGTAACTTGCCCCACACATTCTCTCAGAAACACAAAAGGAACTACGAGATTTACTAAGTTACAGCCACAACAGCAGCTAACTGCAGCAGCCACAGGATTTCTTTCAAGTGAAGCACTGACCCTTTGCATTTAAAACTTCTAACACTGAGCGTTTTAGATCGTTTCAGTCACTCAGGCTCAAGTTCAGTACAGGATGCTTTTGCAGGTTACATGAATGCCATCATCTGCAACAAGACAACATTCTCATTACTCGTTACAAAATTCACAACAATCCACACATCACCCCAGTGGTTTATTATTTTTGGTGTTACTTTTTAAACTTCCGCCCCACATTGGCAAGTTGCTGAAAAGGACAAAAAAAAAAAAGAAAAAAAAAGAGGAAAAAAAACCCCACCCCACATTGCCTCCATACCTACAAAAAATCCTTGGCTTCTCCAGTTAGCAAAAATACAAACCATTGTATCCTCAGTGTTGGTTTGTGGGAGGGGGGAATCATAGGATAGAAAACACAGTTTCTGTAAGTCTCTAAAGCACAACCCTGTTGTTCCTACTTCGAAGTTATGAGATTTACTGAATGAAGACTGGACAAGTCATTCATGCTTTTCTCCTGCATTCAGAAAGGCACCGATAGATTACAGTGTTAAGTATTTATCTCCCAGTTCTTAAAGAACAAAGCCTAATGTGCAGAAAGCTGAAGTCTCCGAATAGCAGAAGTAGTTGTAGACACTGCGATGCTAAGAAGATAGTAATAGTGGTAGGGCTACAGTTACGAATGAAAATAACTGCAATTAAGATGCAAAAAAGCAGTGGTACTACTAAGACAAGCACATGCACATCCATTCTTCATTTGACAACACAATCTAGTCTAGTTCAAATAGCCAAGAATTTAACAGGGTTTTTTTGGGGGGGAGAAAAAAAAAAAATCTTCAACAGGACAGCTGTGTCCTCATCTATAAAATAAGCAAGAAGAGAAAGATAAATACACATCTGAATCCATTAACTGAAGAGGAAACTCAAGTTGTCGTTTTAGAGCTACAGACCCTCAAGAAGAATAGTTTTCCATCTCATGTTACTTTTAAATCATCTGTTCTACTCTGCAGTTTTTATAGTTGAGTTCGAGAAAAAAGCTCCTCCTCACACGGATCAGCCCATTCACTTCCACCTTCTGAGGCTGTGTCTTCAGAGCTGGAGCTATCACTGGAGTAGATCTTCTTCCTGAAGCCATTTGGTTTTGCCTCAGCGTTTATATCATCTGCACATCTTGCTTCATAAACAGAAGAAACCTAAGGATTTAAACTGACAGTGTTGATGGGGAACAACAAAAAACATGCTTGCTTTTTCCAAGCTGGGAGGTTATATAGTTTTGTAGTTGTTCAAGAGAGATGTCATGATTACAGGAAAAGTTCTCCTCTTTCCTGACTTAGTCCACAATGTGGAAGGGCTGCAGAACAGCAGGAACAAAAGGTGGAGCCTTTACTATTTTTTCCTATTCTTTCATCTTACAATTTGCACAAAACAGCAAGAGAATCAAAAGTGAACTTTGTTAGAACGTGTCATTACCACAGGTCATGTTAGCACATTACTGTAAAAGTTACCTCCAAAATCTGGTAGCAAGTATTAAATATCAAGAAAACACAACACAGATCTGACTAAACTTCAAGCAAAACCAGCATCTTTTCAGCTGAATCAGTAAAGCTATAGCAAGCATGTCACAATGTAAACTCAGGTGCTATCGTCACTATAAAAGTATATCAGTAAGGGCACGTGTACATGAAGGTTTTCCCTATGGCAAAAAATCAGGTTTTTGTTCGTAAGCAGGACAGAACTCAGCATGCATAATGTTTACTGGTCCTTTCTGCCTTCATAGTGCACATCAGCCCACTCTTGCCTTCCTGAAATTGGAAGTTGAGGAAAAGACAGCTCATGTTTTTAACACACATGACAAGCAAAAGCCAAGTCTTCCCAAAAGAAACGGAGTTTGCCTAGCTCCTAGAAGTACACCCCTCTGGACAAAGGGCGGTACTCCCCAAAGTGCAACACGAAGGAGTTTTCAGAAGAATGCTCAAGACACAGGTTCTTGTAAGCATAAAGTAAGGGAAAAAAAGCTTTTGAAGGTTTTCACAGGAATTTCATTTGAGGCCAGACTGAAAACTGTGATGAAAGGAAAGATGTGGTGGCACATGCTTATCCAGTAAACAAAACAACTCCTCCCCCAAACTGGTGACACACTTACCATATTAAAATCTAAAAGATGTTCATCATCATTGGATATTTCCTTTACATCTGCAAATTCTCCTACACCATTCTCTCCCTTGGCATTTGTATAACACTCTTACATTGTGTTTGTGGGGGTGTTTCAGAGGAAAAAGGAAGAAAAAACAGAATTGAAGAACACTGTTATTTACATTTAGCCAAAACGAAAGCATCTAGAGAAGCATTCTTGAAATCTACACTCTAAGCCATGTAAACGCTGTGCTTGTGGGGGATTTTATAGTTTGACATCCTTCAAGAAATAAGGCTTCATCAAATCTTCCCTGGATAACAAAATAATTAATAATAATAAAAAGAAGCTACTTATTTAATGAAAACATCTAAAATAGTAAGATAGAAAGAGCAAGAATTACTTTTTATTATAAATGGTTCAGTACATTTTTCAGTTCTGATACTGCATGGCGTTTTTGATCATTTGTTTTTCTACAACCCTACAAAATATCCTGCAACAGCAGCCTGATCCTGACTGACCCTCAAAAAAAAAAAAAAGTTTACGTGAATGGCTGTGGTTTCTACTTACCAGAGTAAACTTCCATATATAATACCTACATATATCATATCGATATATATGGATCACATGCATACCAATATTGTACATTTGAAAAAGAAATACATACAGAAAACAGGATACAGCTAAAGATTTGTGAAAGAATAACATTAGCTCTGAGGATAAAGCTCTAGTTTTGTTAAACTTAGTCTAAAAGAGGAAATCCTGGACCTATTTACTTCACAGAAATTCTGCCACTGTATCAAGCAGGTTCCAAACTCCGTAGTATTTTATACAGTATATTCTGTCTTCCTCTGACGAAATAAGGTGGTGAAACACTGAGGCAGTTAGGCAGCTTCACCAGCAGGTGTCAGCAAGAAGATGACACAATTCACTCACAGGAATTCAAGAATTACTCTCTGTAAAAGAGTGCAAGTCACTGCATTTGCTAGTACAGCAGTAATACCTCTGCAGTTATCACTGGCGGGGGGGGGACCCAACTTTACAAAAGGACACTAAATATCTCTACTTTCTAAATACTGAGATTTTTTTTCCTCCCAATATGGGAAGTTCTGTGACCAGTCCAGGAGGCAAATTGAAGTCCTGTAGGCATCAATCTATTCTCTTTCACTGCACAAACACATTTCTATAGCTGGGAGTGAAGTAAGTCAAGATGTTCTTGATAAGTAACTCAAACTGTCCTAAACACCAAAGTAAGGGCATTTAGGCACACAGAACACCGTTTAGTTGGTTGCACTTTAAGGTGCACTCCAGACATAGTTTGATAATTATTACTGGCAAATCTCACTTCCAGATGATTAAGGAACCAGGTCTCTGGTGAACAGAAAGCATCAGACAGCCTGTCAATTCAGTATACAAAATGTTCTTATTTAGCTTCTTGCCTTCTCCCCAGAAAAGGTAACTTGGTATGCAGGCAAAGAAAACCGCCTGGGTTCCTGCCTGTCCACTGAAAACCTGGGCTTGGGCCAGCTGTCGGATGCTATGAATTTTTGGGAGGCAAGAGAGAGTGCTGGAAGCACACCTGCTTCCGCTTGCGAGCTGCCTGCCTACCAAGGCTGGACTTACTCTCTGTGTGGGACAGGAAAATACCCAGATTGTCACTGTGAAAGGAGTGGCTAAGAGGCAAATCCCTCTCCTTCCCAGCTTGAGAGAAATTCCACACATTCGCTGAATAACTAGCATGTTATTTATGCAAACCCATAAAAGATAATTACTGTGTTTTCAGATTCTTATAAATTTAGCTACCTAATAAGTATTATTCTGGTATGTAATAAAGTATTTTCAGAGTCAGAGACTAATATTCTATTTACTTAATTTCAGGCTCTAGAATTAAGTAAATTTACATAAATGTTAAGACTATCTTAAAAGCACTTTCATTTAAAAAACTATTTAGAAGCATGCTAGAGATCTATTACAAACGTAACTGAAGCATCCCAGATCTCTCTCAGGTAAGAGAATTTATTGTGGAAGTTTACTGTTTGGTTTTTTTTAAATACAGATGGTAGTTCCAATTCATCTGCAAGAGTTCAAATCCATAAGAAAGAGGATCTCATTCTAATACCGGTACAACAGCAAGTTTGTTCAAACAGGCAAAACTTCTTACCTTCACACTGTGATGCAGGAAAAAGGGGAGAATAGAGCGCCTTTTCCCACCAGCACTGCTTTTCCTGGCTGCCACTCATGCTCTGCAGATTAGTATTCAATATAGGAAAGTGTTTATACAATAATCACACTTCATTATGCCATAAATAATATACTTACATGTAAAGGAAGAAACTAGTATTATAACCAATTTGCTAGGTCTTATAGGTCACAATGCTCAATTTCTAACACTAACGGGAAAGGACTGTCAAACTACAATAGAACATCCGTTTTCTGAACTCTTTTACTTGATATGAACTCCACGCAGGGGGCTCATACTTTACCGAGAGTTGTGCAAATCCAGAACAAAAATTCCAGCCTACACTGTATAATCTAAGTACAAAACAAGGAAGAACAGATAGCTACCCGAGAGATGAAAATACAATGAAAGAACTTTGGTCAACAGGACAAATAGTTCAGTGTAAAACAAAACAGAAAAAAAAGCAAACAAAAACTGGCAAATTTTTATGTTTAATGTCTGGAAGGGTGAATTAGCAGTACCCTTACCATCAATGGTATAACACAAAATTAAACTAGAGAATTAATGTGTCAACATGAGGAAAAACTGGTTAGGAGGAGGATTAATAATTTCTCTTTATGGTAAAAATAATCTTAGTCTACTCACTGAAAATGCCTAAATACTGCCCCCCCCCCCATTTTAATGCTAATTTAAATTTACCAGAGGCCTTTCCTTGTAAAATTAATGGATATGGCTAAAATACCAAAGGCTTGTCGTAACAGACATGTCCCTAGTTTTCTGACTGCCATCTGTGGTAACCCCATTAACCTTCAACAGTTGACGCCAGCTTCTAATATCCCCTATAGATATTAGAATGATTGAAAAGCAAATTATAGTGCAACTAGCCACTAAAAAACATTAACAAATGACCATCAACACTGGGTTTCTATCCAGCTTCCTCCTCTGTACACCCAAGATGATTTATGGAAAATTAACAAGCCTCATTTTGTTCCTCTTTTGTAGAGCTAAAAACCTATAGAACCTAAACTTATAAAGGCTTATTACTTAACAAAGAGAAGTCCCTCTCAAACCAAATAAGCAGTTCAAGAGTGCTGTATTCAGAGCTGTCTGCCAGATTAAACTTCTTTTCCCACAAAATTCTGCTATAATGAATACTGGAATTATCCATGCTTGTTCCCTCTCATAACACCACGGAGCAGTCCTTTTGGAACCACTCTCCAAAAACTCAAACCCCAACTCTAGAAAAGGGAGTTCTGAGAAACTTAAACCATAAAAGCCCAAGGGTATTTATTTGCAGCAGGACTTCATAAGAAATATGTGCATTTGCAAATAAATTCAATCATGGAAGCCTCATTCTGCTGCTAACTACAGACAGAGGCATCTAAACTCCACAGGCACAACACTATTAACTTCAAAGTTTCCCACGCCGCTGGTGTCACACCTGCACTCATATCTGCGCCCAAGATAAGCTGGATGAACCACAGCGGGTTACAGCCAAAGCCAGCTTGAGTCTCCAGGGTATAAACAAGCTACAGTGGTCTTGCTTCCTGGGCTAAGTCACCATCAGAGCCTACGTATCTGCTTCAGGATGGCTCGGTGACTCAACCGATGCTGCCCCAGCTCCTGTGTCCTTCCATCACTGCCTCGGTACCAGAAGAGTTAGGGAGAGCCAGATGCGCCTTCTGGCTGCACGCAGAAGCAGCCCAGCAGGACTTCAGTCTGAGCTCAGACCTGGCCCTCTTGCCCCCACACTGACCCTCGTGGAATGACGTGCGTTATTTCTAAGCCAGCATCAAGGTCAAACGTGTAAAGCTAAAGGACAGGTGTAAAGACCCACTACCCACACTAAAGCCATCTGGGTGTTTTGTTTGGGAGGTGATGGGGGACACGAGATAGTGTCCATTTTATACATTCACTGAAGAAAACCAATTTCTCTTACAGTTGCTTAGAAGTTTACTACAATTGTACATCATGAAAATTTCTGAAAATTGACGAAGTACCCTTAACTAGCAAATAAATACCAACTGCAGAATAGTCCCATGACTCTACCTTCCTTTTCTATTTAAAATGGCATTTGCAATTTACAACACCACCTCCTCAAACACATCCTCATGTGCACTTCCAGTATTTTATGGAAAGTTTTAATAAATTTCCCAACTACCCATTTAAATAGCTATTCTCAAGTGCACTCATATTAGAAATTGCAAGTGGAAGTCTTTCCTCTCTGAAACTATTCATATTTACTTTATTCTTAAGTACAGCTCAAAGACAAGAGGGCAAAACCTGTTGCACTTCTAGTCTTGCTGCCGGTCTGCGAGAAGACCAATGGGTTTCCTTTCCTGGTTTACAGCTAGACATATGGTAACTGAGGCTTTTCTTAGAGCTCCTGGTTGAGGATGTGTAAAATCACTTGAGGACTTTAGAATTGACTAGCACAGATACTACGGTAATGTTCAGTTATGAAAGATTCTCCTCCCCTCAAATCCTGACAGATTTCAGTCACAATCGTCTACAAATTTTCAGTAGATTAGGGTCAGAAATGTGCAGTTACATGCTAAAACAAAAACTTCAATTCTGCTTTTCATCTGTCCTCTACTGAGAGTTAAGCCAACAGCAGAAAAAAAAAAAATTATTTTAGTGTTTGTTATTGTTTGTGTAAGAGTTTGACAGAGTAAAATAATAGTTTCAAAACTTTAAACGGCACTTATATGTTTTTCATTGGCATCTATCTCACATGTGTTCCTTCCAACATCATTTCATGTCTGTTTTCCCAAATGAACCTTCCCAAGAACCTCCACACAACAGCAGGGCTGTCCTCGTAAGTCTTTTATCCAAAATCTCAACCGAAACCTCTGGTATACAAAAGAACCACCATTCCTTGCAGACATCAGTAGCATTACTCTTTCTCAACTAAAAATTCTAGTGCTGCTTCGAAGACCAAATTACAGTGAGAGGACTCTGTACTCTAGCTGGAGTAAAGTAGCTAACATGAAGGAGAGATTTTGTGAGCTTAAGTGGATAATGACCATTTTAAACAGCGTGTTTGATCTCCAGCATCACGATGGAATTTGGCTGTTTTGTTAAGGATACAATTGAAAAAAAAGGGAAAACAAGCAGAGAAGTAAAGCATTGTTTCCCCCACCGTGAATGCCATTTCCTACAGCCGATGAGATTTTTCCTCACCTCTTCCACTCACACAAGTAAAGCAGCCAAGGAAGATTACTGTTCTACACAGTTTTACTGTATTGCTGCTTTCTTCACAAGACTGCTATGGACAGCAATACATAATTCATTAGCTGATGAAGCTGTATTGCCAGAAGGCAGCAGAATATCATATTATATGGATCTAGGGGAAAGGACAAGCTGCTTTGGTGAACACACTTCAGCCTGGGGAGCTGGGCCCAGGAGGAGCATTTTACTCTTTTGCTCGTTTTGCTTGTGCAAACTGCTCCATACTCACTACGGCAAGGGATGTATCCAACACCACAGTTTTCAGCTGTGACCAGCAGGCAGCCTGATAAACAGCACGTTCGAGCAGTACTGTTGGTCTGCTGATGTAAGACTAAATTTATCTGTCGTTTCTGTGTGACAGGACACTGAACCAACTTTTAGGAATATCTTTGAAAGAGGCATTTAGGCAGGTAAGGAAACAGTGACTACCCAAAGTTGGGAAGGACCAGGTCTAGAGGTATGAAAGCAAGGAAAAAAAAAAAAAAAAAAAAAACAAAAAAACCTATTCATATAATAAAATCATAAACCTGGTACTGTCGCATCTGCAATATGAGGTTTTATTACCCAAAGGATAAATATGCGGATGGGAAAAGCCAAGGAACAAAAGGCAGGAAAAATTTGGAGGGAGGGAGGTAGGGTTCCTTCCTCCTCTCCTTATGTATACAGATGTATTAAAAGGGAAGTTCATTATGATAAATTAAAAACCCAAACCCCAAAATATTTGTTTATATTTTGTTTTTATATATATAAAAAAATATAAAAATATTTCTCCTCAGGTAAAAGCTTGATTGCTCATACAAGTAGTTCATTAGAAAATTACTTTCTGCCAAGAAGAAAGAATAAAGTAACAGACAGTTTTATTTTGCAACCTCAAATAAATTTCTTAGAGAATATTTATGAATATGCAACATACTGTTTTTCTCCACCAATAACTGGAACAGGATGTGCTTAACAACTTAAATGTTATTTTATCAGCAATCTCCATAGGGGGAAATATTAGTATGGGTTTTTTTTGCTGTTCCTTAACTAACAATTTTGTATGAGACAGCAGTAATTTCTGTTGATTTCTTTGCTTCCATCACAAGTTTTTCCCTAAAGTTACAGACAAAAGTCCACAGCAAGTTCATATGGCAGATCAGTCATCTGCTAGTTTGAAAAGTTACATTGGTCAGAACTTTATTCTTCAAGCAAAATTTATGCAAAGCATCTTCTCAGAGCTGAGGTCTACAGTTTTAAGGACCATATGCCTGAAGGTCTTGAAAAAAAGGGCACTTCCAGAATTTTATGAAAAGTTTTATTAAATTTTCCAGCTGCCCATCTAAACAGCTATTATTTTTCATCTAAATTGATAGGCCTTTCAGGATAGACTATTTGGGCTCTAGATACTAATTTAAAACCACCAGCATTGAATATTTCTACTCTTTCAGAATGCATGCTGACAAAGATTGAGGCAGTGACAAGAGTTTTGCTGAATTTGAACAGAATAAGCACTAAAGCCTCATTATGATCCGAAAATTATCTGAAGTGTTACAACTGACAGTTTCATAACCAACGACAGAGAAAGTAAAAGTCATATTAATCTGTAAGTACAAATTTCCTTGAACCTGCTCTGCAACCCCTCACTATCAGAAAGAATACAAGAAACACATGAATAATTTAGAAGCCAAAGCAGCAGTGAACCCATTGAGTCCCATTCCAAAAGATCAGATCTTAATTTTAGTTCATCAGCTACCCAAGGAAGATATATCTGGCTCGAGAAGCTAGTCACAAATGAACAAAGAGAGCAGAGTCTAGAGTTTACATTCTTAAAATCTACTTGGCAGCCACCTAATT